TAGGGAAATAAAACTTCTGCCTTTTGTTAGAAACACTCCAGTGTGAAGTGTTCTTGACAGAACTGTGAGCCAAGTCCTTCAATCCCTGTTTTCTTGGAAAGGGGAGGATCTTTTCGGGAGCGTTCTCTTCAGACTAATTTCTCCTTTTACTTGCTGTGTGATGTTTGTTTCTATAGAAGCAGCCACACGCTGGATGGCTGGAGTCCATCCTTAACATCCCTCTGATGCATCCTCTTGAAAAGCATTACCATGCAGTGGATTAAAAACATTGTATAACTCAGTTCCTGCAGACACACATGGTGGGCCTAAGAGTGGCAACTTTTTCCTTTTGATTCTCATGCACTGCTAGAAATAAAGTAGTTTTAATTGCTTCATAGTCCTAAGCTGAAATCTCCCATTAGCAACAGCTACTGTATCTTAAAGACGATAATAACAAGCACTTGAATAGCACTTTCTGTCTTCAAAGTACTTTGCAGACATTCTTCACTTCTGAATTAAGGATGAGTTTCTGTCCCTTTCAACACTTTTCCAATGAGATAAATGTTCAATCTGCCGTGGGAAAGAGACAAAACTAAAGACTCCAAATTCGCCACTGGAATAGGGCGATGTTCTGCTGTTTTGTTTTTGTGGCGTAAAGTGGCCCCAAAGGCCGTGTGGCTGGTATCACCTCTGCCGGTGGAAATCTTCAGGCTATATGAAGTCGTATGCCTGCAGCGCTTCTGCCTTCACAGGGCTGGTGTAGGGGGTGGGCTCCTACCCACCGCGTGCGCTTCAGCCCTGTGCACCACGCGCAGTGTGAGGGGCAGGGGTATTGAACTGGTGCACGGGGGATCTCCTGGCTCTGGAGAAGGCTGGGGGTGTGGGTACATCTCTGAGCAGTGGCTCAGCCCCTGTGCTGTGAGGAGCCGTTGTCAGACATCCCTCATCCAGCCTTGCAGGGGCAGCCCGGTTTCAGTGAGCTTCTGTGCCCCAGGTCGGGGGAAGCATTCATCACAGAAGATGAAGCCGTGCAGCTGGTGTTCATATCACGCTTCTTATCAGTACCTGGTGCCTCACAGGGGAACTGATGAGCCAGCTGGCAGAGGCTGGGGCCCCCAGGTTGGGAATGTCTCTGAATGGCCACGTCCAAAGGAAGAGGAGGCTCTGTCCTGTCACTGGCATCGTTGACAAAACTCCCATTGACTCGGAGGAGAGTATGAGGAGGCCCAACAGTGTTGATTTCTGATGTCATCTCCCTGGTTTACTTTGTTTTCCAAAGACCCCTTTGTGCTTCTCTCCCTTGCTTTGTATTCTGAATATTCAGACCATTTCTGTGCTCAGGGTCCCCATTTGTAATTAGATTGCGTTTGTTGTGACCCTATTACGTACAGGTTGACTAGTAAGTCACGCTGATCCTTCAACAGAAGATTTAATAAAAGGCACGAGAGGAGGAGGAGGAGGGAAGCGAGGGTGCGGAGGAGGAGGAGGGCTGCTATTGTTCTGCCCTGGGCGCTGCCAAACCACCCCTTGTTTTTTCTGTGGACTGTCTGTGTGTTCAAGCGCTGTTTGAACAAACGGGGCGCAGTCAGCAGGCTGGCGAGAGGGTTAGCTGGGTCTTAGCTAGAAATACTTGCGCGAGTCAGGAAGCAGGCATGGGAGGAAGGAAATTAAGTGGAGACATCTGTGTAGCTTCGCTTTCAGCCGCTCTGCCTGGGGTAGGGGTGGGAGAGTCATGCCTAAGATGACATAACGTATTTTGCCTTTCATGAGTTGAAAACAGAGGAAACTGCGAAAGCGAAGCATGGTCTGTGTCACGCATGGTCCGGGCATACCAAGTACATAATGGAGCAGTGTCAGTGCTTTCTGCTCTGCCTTTCACACCCCAAAATAACTCGTCAAGACAGAGAACTGAGGAGAATGTGATATGGTCCAAAAACTGATCTTGGACTTTTTTCGCAGACGACTGAGCCAGAGGCCAACTGCTGAAGAATTGGAGCAGAGGAACATACTGAAACGTAAGTCCTGTCACTGCTGACATTTAACCTGAAGCCAGCTAGTTTGGGTTCATTTAGATGTATGTTGGGTGCTTTTTATAAAACATCAACTATTCTGTACGTGCCTCGCTAATAATAATAAAGTGCATCATAAATGCAAATAAGCGTGCAAGTCTGTAGCAACATCTAGAGCTGCAGAAACAATTCTTTAAAATCAGAGTCAGTAAATTCACAAGAATGAACAATCTATGGGGGAAAAAACCCAGACACAGAATCTCTTTTGCAAGTCCTCTTCCAAACGTAGGGTCGGTCATTCTGAAAAGCTTTTATGTGGCTCTTACACAGATGCACATCCCGTTATAAGTTAGTAAAGACATTCAGGCACGGCTTGATTAGTTTTCCTAAAAATCTTCGCAGCAGTCTAGGTTAGGTGGAGCCTTTATTCAATTAAAAAAAGAAACCAATGTGACTTGGGATTATTTCCCTGAAATATTCCCCTGAAACTCTTCCTTTAAATCAGCCAAAAAACTCGCTGGTAGATCCTCAAAACATTAAATGAAGTTTTACAGGGACAAAATACCATTTAGAGAGCCTGGTCTGAGTTAAGTTAGTAGATACGTTGCCACCAGCTTCAGGGGAAGCAGGACTGAGTCTAGCACGAATCTCATAATCTCATGAGTGAATAGGGAAAAAAAAAAAAAGACAGTTTCTTTACTCACATTGAAGTGGTTTGAATATAAAAATTTTTAAAAAAGCTGTTTATCTAAGTGTGATTACTTTGGAAACAGAAAACAAAAGAAACAAGTTCTTCCCTTTCTAAGTTAGTAAATTCATCATTCCAGGGAAATTTTTAAAAATTACTACAGAAAGAAGTGTTCCTAAATGGCACCTTAAAATACCATAAGTCTCCTTAGGTAGGTCCATAATTTACCTTCTCTTGTTGTTCAAATAACTGCATTGTACAGAATCATAAAAATGTGGTAGCAGAAGATTAATTCTCTGAAAATTAGCAGAATTGATTGATTAAATACTTCAAAATCAGATTCCTAGCAAGTTAATGATAGTGTTAACACTCGGCAGGGTTTTTTCGTCTGTTCATGTTATTACACGTGGCAGACAAAGAGAGAGAGAGAGAAACCACTATCAATGCAAGGAGGGGAAAAGACCGGACAGCAGAGTGGTGTGGGCGAGCCTGAGGCTGCCAGGAAAGCCATTTGTTTGGGGCCAGCCCCCCTTTGATAGCTGTGCTCCTACTGTCTACTCCTAGCTCCCATGCCTGGCAGCTGGAGAAAGTCAGGGGCAGAAACTGGGGAAAGAGGTGGCACATCCAGATGTGATTGTCTCGGGGGGGAGGGGAGTTGGCAGAACAGCTGGAAGAGGGGGGACCTGCAACGTGACTGATGCCAGGTTCAGGCAAGGAGGGACAGAGGCCAATTCTCTGGGCAGCTCATGTTGTCATCCCGGGACTCGCCACCAGCATGACCCGACATGTGTCATGCACCACCTGGTACTGGTGCGTGACCGGTAAACATTGCTCTGGCACTGGTGAGGGTGGCTGGGGAGAGGTGGGGGTCTCGGGCAGCTGCTTTGGCAGCGGTGTTTGAGCTGGCGTCAGCAGAGAGGCATCTCCTCCAACACTGGGTGCCTTGCAGAGATTCCTAAAGGTCACGTTGCCAAGCACAGCAGTCACGTAGCGACCTGAAGATGTCTTACTTTTCAGAGGAATTATCCCCTGAGTCACATTGGTTTCTTCTTGAATTGAATAAAGGCTCTGAAATGACACAGATGTGTTTGAAAATATTACCCTGAACCCAGAACTATATTGTATTTCCTAAATGGAATTTTTATAGCTTGGTTCCTAAGCACAGATCTTACCCAAAACATGTGTGTCTTGGTAGGCAAACAACTTCATAATTACAGGAAAAAGTAATGTGGTATTTTCAAGGCATCTCAACTTTTGGTGAAACACAGTGGGAAAGGAACAAACAATTAAAATAGTTACGTAATTAAAAAAAAAGCAAGCATAAAAATGCTCCGCTCTTAAGCAAGTAAATATAAATAGTGTCTGGTTTGTACAGCATCACTTCTGAGAAAAAGAATAATAACAAATGTAATGGAGCCTAGAGAAAAAGAGACATGGGAAGCAATAATGAGAAGAGTGTAAATTCTCTGCATAAGCAGGTCAAGCTATTTGCAAAAGCCCAATTCATAGCGCACACGCATACAAAAAAAAAAAAAAAGAAAACCCAGCAAGCTCCCAAGTAGAGTAAATAGGATTTCCTCTGCAGGTAAAGCTGAAATTTCCTTGATGCGAATGTCATGTCTGGTACCATGTTGTTCCTGTTACATGTGTAACCACATTATTGCCCATTCTGATGGGAAGAAATGAGGCAAAATGCGGTTGGACATCCAGTCTTTACACATGAAGTGATCACTTCATAGCTCTGTGCTACTGCAATAATTATGAGCTGGTCAGCTTTATTGAATTGCAAAGTTAGAGCATCCATTGCACAAGTCCCACTGCTTGATGGTAGCAACAGTAAGATTACAGCAGCCACAGCAAAAAAAAAACCGAGAACAGGGACACTAGTGCTTGAAGGGTCCTTCACTGAAGTATACGCAATTCACTGACTCTTATTTAAGTCAAAGGCATGCAGTGAGAGCAGTCCAGACTCACAGGGTTAGTGTGAAGACTAAGTAACGCTTTTTGCACTTAATACTTGCTGGCCAAGTCTATGAGGAAGGATACCCGAGTCCCCCTCACTCATCACCCCCATGCCACTTCTCAGAGTACTTCAGCTGTCGGCCTGACACATTCGGGCTTGCATAAGTTCCTCACAAAAATGATTGTTAGGTAGGCTCTGAGAGTCTCAGACTGTACAGGGGGACATTTCACACTGGCACAGAAATCAGGCCTAAAAATCACACCCACACCCACCCACCCTCACACACAGAGGTCTAGAGAAACAGAGCATCTCCTGAACACATAAGATAAAATAAAGCAACAGTTTTGTAGCTTTGCAAGATTGGCATGACTTAATTAACTGTAAAGAAATAGCTAAAACAAAGTCACTTTCTGATTTCAGAGGAGAATGTATTCCTAATTCCCAGCTTTTACCTGACTGAGGTCTTCAGCCTGCTTGGCTGTCTCTGAAAGTGGGTGGCTGGGCTGAAAAGTGAGGTGAAAAGAAAGACATCGTATGCCAAATACAAAAATAAATGGCCATAACTAAGTTTTATACATAACTCCTCGGCTGCTTGCAGTTCTACCCTGAGTCTATGTGGGCTCTGTTTAGCACTGTGTCTCTCTGGCTTAATCTTACAAGGATTTATTAGTGGCTGTACTTCTGAGAGTAGGCATCTGCAGGACCAGCTCCTCCAAATTTGAGACACAAAGGGAGGAACGAAATTGCTAGAGGAGCAATGGGTAGAAGAGAATCCACCCCAGTAGGGACAGAAACCATCGAAAGAGGAAAAATATATTTATCGGTGTAGGTATTCCAGTTGTCATTTAAAAAGCCATTTGTGGCTCCCTGCTGTCTTCTGTTCTTTTTACTCCAGTATCAGCTTCCTTTCTCCTGAAAATGTAAGCAGTATTTTTGGTAAAATGGCATTTAAAGATCAGAAGTGTATTGTAAAACATCATAACATTGACTGGCTCTTTGTCCGCTTTGGTGGAGATTTCCCAGTCCTGCTGGAGTCAGTGAGCAGTTGTGATAGACCCGTCAGCTCTACTCTCCTGAGCAGCAAGAAACCTGGCTTTCAGCCTAGCCCTCCTCACCTGCTCAGGGACGTCTGTGGTCTCTGAACCTTAGGTCTTACTTTTGTGTGGGAAAAGGCCCAATTTTGAATGTGTTGGTTTGAAACCTTGCATCTCCTCCACCATGGGCAGACTTCCATTGGGTTAGGACGTCCTTATATTATTTTTGGCTTGTCCCAGCTGGTTAATGGGAGTGCTGATCTGTGCTCTCTTGGCTGAAGAAGTTACGGCTGGCAGTTTGTACTGCCACTCTGCCAGGGGTGCCTGCTTCTCCCACAGGATCAGTGGAGAGGAACGTAGGATTCCCCCTTGGGTTTAATTCAGTCCAAAGTTGGATAATTTAAATCAAGCCACCTATCCCAAACTGGCCTTTGAGGTCCATAATCTCCCCTGCAGAGAGTTATTCCTGCCGGAGGTAGTCCTATCTGAGTGAAAACCGGATCACACCAGGGGCACAGGGTACTTGTCGGAAAAGCTGATGAGTTGCGTTGGCTCTCATCTGTTGTGCATGGGCGTGACGGGAGTAAGGAGCGGTT